TTTGTGCAAGAACTCTTCCGCAAAACAGTTCTTGCGCAAGAAGCTGCCAGTGTAGACATAGCCTCGTTTTTTGGCAGATAACTTAGCAGATAGCTAACAGGAGCATGGTATCTAATTCCTATATAAAAGAAAGAAAATTAAATAAATATTAGCTCCATCCAACTCTAATACTAACATATTCTGACATCTTGTGGCAAGTCACTTAAGGGATACTGGGTTAGCCTTACGATTTTATTTTAAACTCATACTTTGTTGCTACCTCTGTGGAGAGAGAGAGACAGAGACAGAGACAGAGACAGAGAGACAGAAAGAGTCAGGATTCCTGGGTTCTATCTCAGCTCTGTAAGGTCTAGCTGGTTACAGCAGGGAGCAGATACATCTGGGTTCTGTATAAGAAAATCAGAATGGCCATAATGGGTAAGACTAATGGGCCATCTAGCTCAGCATCCTGTCTTCCAACAGTGCCAATCCCAGGTGCTTCAGAAAGAATGAACAGAAGAGGCAATCATCAAGTGATCCGACTCCTCTCACCCATTCCCAGCTTCTGGAAAACAGAAGATTGGGACACCCTTCCTGCCCATCCTGACTAGTAGCCAAGGAAGACCTATCTTCCTTGAACTTATTTCATTCTTAGTGCAATCCTGTTATAGTTTGGGCCTTTCCACCATCCCCAGGCAAAAATATCCACAGGTTGACCACAAAGAAAATACGTATTTTGTTTTAAATCTGCGGACTATAAATGTAATTGGATGATCTTCTTAAGTTATGTTAGTGACGGAATAAATGGCATTTCCTTAAACAATTTTTCCAACCATTCATGATTTTCTAGACCTCTAACCTACCTCCCTACCCTTTAGTTTTTTCTTTTTGAATCTGAAAAGTCCAGTCTTTTAAATCTCTTCTCATACAGTAGCTATTTCTTACCCCTAATCATTTCTGTTGCCCTTCTCTGTACCTCTTTCAAATCCAATATATCTTTTTTAGATGCGATGGCCAGATCTGCATGCAGTATTCATGATGTGGACACACCATCTAGAGCAAGTCAATGTGATAGTTCCTGTCTTATTATCTATTCGTTTTCTAATGATTCCCCGTATTCTGTTAGCTTTTTAGAATATCACTGCATATTGAGCACATGTTTTTAGGGAACTATCCACAATGATTCTATGGATCCTTTTCTTGAGTGGTAACTGCTTATTTAGACCCTGTCATTTTGTATGTATAGTTGGGATTAAATTCTTCTAAATGCATTGTTTTGCATTTATCAGCATTGAATTCCACCTGTCATTATGTTACCTAATCACCCAGTTTTGTGAGCTCTCTTGGTAACTCTTTAGTTTTCAACTTAATTTTTGAGTAATTTTGTATCACCTGCAAATTTTACCTCCTCATTGTTTACCCCCTTTTCAACATCATTTCTGAATAAGTTAAACAGCACTGGTTACACACCTGGAGCACATCACTATTTATTCCTGTCCTTTGTTTCCTATCTCTTAGGTGGGGTATATGGCAATGGTTTCATAATCATCTTTAAGGATCTTTCAATTACTTAAAGGACAAGCTTTTTGTTAGCTTTATCAGCATGTCTCCCTCTGTTTATAAACAAACTCCCTGCCCCAAAGGCAATGCTAGGAGCAGCACTCACTCTGTTGCAGGTAAGAGCTATGCATGGGGCCAGAGCATGCACTTTAAACAGACCTAAAGTATGAAATTCAGGGGTTCAAACTTCAGGGTAGGGCTGACATCACTACCAGCTCCCTTAAAGGTGTCCCTGGTATAGTGATTGTCTAGGCATTAAGTGCCTTGGATGAGGTGTAAAAACACCCTATGTGGCTCAGAAATGTTTCTCACTACTATAAGTTGGTCCAATAAAAGAGAATATCTCACTCACCGTATCTCTCTAATATCTTGGGACCTGCTCAGCTACAAGTACATGGCTTGTGATCTGAATGCTTAAAAACATCAGCTTTTGTTTTTAATTGCCACAAGATGCCAAAACTCCTCCAATTGTTTATACCAGAGGAATCTTTTACATATGTATGTGGCTTTAAATAAGGAACAGTTTGTAGAACTCACACCCTGGATATTTATTATCTATGCTGAAGAGTTCTTTCTAGTGAAATTATGTACACAAAATGGGAAGATGCATTAGTTTTGTGGCCTATTTGATTTAATACATATCTTGCAAAATGATGCATAGAATGTTCAGTGCAGTTCCAGATCCATAATTTGAGTAAGTTCATTAATTACAACCTTCTGCCCTCTCCCCAACCATAATGATTTCTGCTTTTCTCTCTAGGAGCCTGAAGATGTGTTGCAAATTATTTTCTAGAAAAGCAACAGCAAAACTTCCTAGAGAGTTTTTATGTTCAACAGAAAAATAATTTAGAGCCAACTGTTTTCCCTTTGGTATGCAAAGAGTCACAGTATGCGTAACAACAGCCACCAGCAATGTAGCATTGCTGCCTGCCTATAACTCGCCATGCACCAAGAGGAAAAATTGTCCCTTAGTGGATAAATGCCTGTATTTTGCCTAGATAAAATTGACAGGTGTTACTTTCAAAGAAATTACGCTACATTCAGTGACTCCAATCAAAAGGCAATGTTCCATAACCTGTCATTCATAAACATCAATTGGAACTATGTCAGACAATGGCACAATGTTTAAACTGCCTTTGTTTGCCATGTCACCTGTCATTGACCTTGAATGTGTGTTAGAGGCTTCATGTTCTGCAATTTACAGATAAGTGTGTTGACAGCTTTGAACCCACATCTGCTGAAAAGCATTGTTGGTTCATCACATACTCAACAGAGCTAATAAAATATAAAACACAAGTCTTATGCGTGCATGAAATTCATGTTCCTAAAATCCTGTCTTCAATCTGCTCACCAGAAGCAGATTTCCAGGTAACAGACTTGCTGCACTGTGCACAATTTCAAGTGGGTCTTTTTTTACTGGATAGCCATGGGTAATGATCTTAGTATAATGTTGTGCTTAGGTGATGCTGGGTGGTATACATACCATGATTTCTATTTGCAGGTAGGAGCAATTGACACACACTAATATAAACTAGATGCCTGCTAAAATATTCATGAATGATTAGGCTTCTAAATATTTGGGTGAAGGAATTCCTTTAGCAAGGCAACCCCAGTTCCCTTAAGGGTTCCTTCCCTAGCTTGGACTCTATCTATTCTGTCCCCTCGTTTTTCCTTTATGTCTTTCCCCTCCCCTTCTCAGCTCTTTGTTTCTCTGTATTTTTCCAAGGTTTTTATTGTTATTATTATTATTATTTCTCTCCACCCACCTCCACTCAGTCTCCTTTGTTCTTTTTCCATCCTGCCACCATATTCCCCCTTCTTTGTCTCTCTGAAAACCTCAATTCTCAACCTCTCCCTTTCTCAGGGTTTTCTCCAGTCTCTGCAGGTGCAATCTCTACTATACCCTCTTCACTCCATTTCTTGGCTGATGGAAAAAGGACTTGCAGCATAAAGTCTTCTGCTCTACAGAATTACAGTGGATAAGAATCTGGATACGAGTCAATAGTATGCCCTTGTAGCCAAGAAGGCTAACAGCATATTGGGGTGCAAAAATGGGGCTAGAGCACATTACTTATGAGAAACTAAAAAACAATTAGTCTAGTAGCACCTTAGGGTATGTCTAGACTGCACCCCTCTGTCAGCAGAGGGATGCAGATTAGGCAGGTCGACATTGCAAATGAGGCAGGGATTTAAATATCCGGTGCCTAATTTGCATAAAAATGACCATCGCGATTTGCCAACTCAGCACTTTGTTGGCAAAAAGTGGCAGTCTAGAGGGGGATCTGTCGAGAAAGAAATCCTTTTTCAACAGATCCTGTAAACCTCCTTGCAGGAGGCACAAGGGATCTGTTGAAAAAGGCTTTCTTTGTCCACGGATCCCCCTCTAGACTGCCACTTTTTGCCAACAAAGTGCTGAGTTGGCAAATCGCGATGGTCATTTTTATGCAAATTAGGCACCGGATATTTAAATCCCTGCCTCATTTGCAATGTCGACCTGCCTAATCTGCATCCCTCTGCTGACAGAGGGGTGCAGTCTAGACATACCCTAAGGTGCTACTAGACTAATTGTTTTTTAGTTTCTCATAAGTAATGTGCTCTAGCCCCATTTTTGCACCCCAATATGCTGTTAGCCTTCTTGGCTACAAGGGCATACTATTGACTCGTATCCAGATTCTTATCCACTGTAATTCTGTAGAGCAGAAGACTTTATGCTGCAAGTCCTTTTTCCATCAGCCAAGAAATGGAGTGAAGAGGGTATAGTAGAGATTGCACCTGCAGAGACTGGAGAAAACCCTGAGAAAGGGAGAGGTTGAGAATTGAGGTTTTCAGAGAGACAAAGAAGGGGGAATATGGTGGCAGGATGGAAAAAGAACAAAGGAGACTGAGTGGAGGTGGGTGGAGAGAAATAATAATAATAATAACAATAAAAACCTTGGAAAAATACAGAGAAACAAAGAGCTGAGAAGGGGAGGGGAAAGACATAAAGGAAAAACGAGGGGACAGAATAGATAGAGTCCAAGCTAGGGAAGGAACCCTTAAGGGAACTGGGGTTGCCTTGCTAAAGGAATTCCTTCACCCAAATATTTAGAAGCCTAATCATTCATGAATATTTTAGCAGGCATCTAGTTTATATTAGTGTGTGTCAATTGCTCCTACCTGCAAATAGAAATCATGGTATGTATACCACCCAGCATCACCTAAGCACAACATTATACTAAGATCATTACCCATGGCTATCCAGTAAAAAAAGACCCACTTGAAATTGTGCACAGTGCAGCAAGTCTGTTACCTGGAAATCTGCTTCTGGTGAGCAGATTGAAGGGGCGTTTTTTTTTTCTGTGGGGCAGCCTGTTGCTGGGGGGGGGGGGCAGCCTGTTGCTGGCAGGGGGATGAGGGGGGGGGCAGCGGGCGTGGGGAGGCACTTTTCCTCTGCCCGGCAGCTCTGCGGGACCCCAGTCGGAGCCGGCCCGAGGAGGAGGAGGATCCTAGGACCCAGGTGAGCGAGCCCCGGGAATGCTGCTGCGCATGTGCGGGAGTTGCCTCACCCCGTTCGTATCTAGGGATCCGACGTAAGTCGGATCCACGTAAGTCGGGGACTGCCTGTATAAGAAGTCTAAATCCAAGAATAAATAAGGGAAGGAGAGGGAGGGGAAAGGAAGAAAAACAAGAGGCAGTGAGTAGATAGTTCAAATAGTTACAAGAGGCAGATAAGAACAATTAGCACCTCCACTGGTTGGTTGGTTAAGTCATTAAAAGGTGGAAGATAGTGTGGGAGCCACCCTGTATCCCGGGTTCAGACCATTTGCATAAGAATTAAACTTGTGAATGAAGTTAAGTTCCAATCCTTCCCTGTTTATTTGGCTTGTGAAATTGTTTTGAAACAAAAAAGCGACTTGGAGATCCATTAATGAGTACCCAGGCATATTAAAGTGTTCTCCAACAGGTTTTTGTTTATTGCCTTTTTGGATATCTGAGTTGTGTCCGGCAGAGATTGTCTAGTTTGGCCAATATACATGGCAGTGGAGCATTGCTGGCATTTGATGGCATAGATTACATTAGTGGACGTGCTGTAAAATGAGCCTTTGATTTGGTGGCTGATGTGATTGGGTGCAGGGATGAAATCGCTTGTGTAGATGTCCGGGCAGCGTTGGCACGGGGGCTGATTGCAGGGTGGGTTCCTGGATGATTATGATGGAGATGTGTTGCGTGGTTACTGGAAGGAATTTGTTTGAGGCTAGGGGATTGTCTGTAAGCTAGAATTGGCCTTCCCCCCAAGGCGTTTGAGAGTGAGGGGCCTTTTTCCAAGATAGGTTATAGATGGTTGATAATGCATTAGAGGGGTTTAAGTTGTGGACTGTAGGTGATGACAAGTAGAATTCTGTTGTTTTATCTTCTGGGCCTGTCTCGAAGGAGTTCATGTCTGGGTACTTTTTTGGCACTGTTGATCTGTTTTTTCATGGGTTTTTACATGTTTTTCCTTGGGTGGGTATTTCAGTTTTAGGAATGCTCTATATCCGTGGTCCCCAACACAGTGCCCGCAGGCGCCATGGCGCCCGCGGGGGCATTTCCATGCGCCCGCCAGGTGCTCGGGGCTGGCCTGGCACCGGGCGCATGGCGGGGGGAGCGCCGGCCCTGGGCGCGCGGCGCATGGCGGGGGGAGCGCCGGCCCCGGGCATGCAGCTATGGGGGGGGCCACCCCCAGGGCGCAAGTGTCCCTGCCCCCTGGCGGGCAAACGGCCATGCCCCCTGGCGCCTGACAACCTCAAAAGGTTGGGGACCACTGCCCTAGGAAGATTATTCGAGTAGGAATTTATCCCAATTTAAGCTTCTCTGTGCTCTGAGAAATGTCTTACTTTTAGCAATGCCTCACTGGCCTACTCTGAGCAATTCCTTCTCCCTTTGGCCCCACCACTACCTTACGTTTCCTAGTCGCAGTGATGGCAGCAGACCTCCCAGCCTTGGGGGTACGATGCTATGGGGGGGCCCCGCCCCCGGGCATGCGGCTATGGGGGGGGCCGCCCCCGGGGCGCAAGTGTCCCCGCCCCTGGCGCCCGACAACCTTGAAAGGTTGGGGACCACTGCTCTATATAGATCCCGTAGGCGTTTGTCTCTGTCTGTGGGATTGGAGCAAATACGGTTGTATCTTAGTGCTTGGCTGTATACAGTAGATTGGGAAATGTGTCTGGGATGGAAGCTAAGGGCATGAAGGTAAATGTAGCGGTCAATAGGTTTCCGGTATAGGGTGGTGGAAATTTGTCCATCATTTAATAGTACTGTAGGATCAAGGAAGTGAACTTTTCATGTGGACTGATCCAGGCTGAAGTTGATGGTGGGGTGGAAGTTGTTGAAATCTCAGTGAAATTCTTCAAGGGTCTCTTTCCTTTGGGTCCATATGATGAAGATGTCATCGATGTAGCATAAGTAGAGTAAAGATCTTAGGGGGTGGGATTTGGTCTACAGAAGAGAAGAGTGAGGGGGGATTTGATAGCAGCTTCAACTACCTGAAAGGGGCTTCCAAAGGGAATGGAGAGAGGCTGTTCTCAGTGGTGACAGATGACAGAACAAGGAGCAATGGTCTCAGGTTGCAGGGGTAAGGTCTAGGTTGGATATTAGGAAAAACTATTTCACTAGGAGGGTGGTGAAGCACTGGAATGGGTTACCTAGGGAGGTGGTGGAATCTCCATCCCTAGAGGTTTTTTTAGTTCTGGCTTGAGAAAGCCCTTCCTGGGATGATGCAGTTGGGGTTGGTCCTGCTTTGGGCATAGGGCTGGACTTAGTGACCTCCTGAGATCTCTTCCCTATAGAGACCCTAAACACTGAAAAGATTATGGCCCACCCCCCCCCCCATATGTAATTAAAAATAAAAACAATACTGTAAAATTACTCTTTTTTTTTTTTTTTGGTGCCCCTGCTTTTCTGGTGCCCTAAGCACGTGCTTAGTCTGCTATTGGGTAATCTAGCCCTGCTTCCAACCCTCTTGCTTCCTTTCCCCTACCCCTTCCCCTTCCCATGCTACATGCTGAGTGACAGTAGCAGACTCAGAAAGCACCCCCATAGAGACCAATGGGCTGGAGACCAGTGAAATAATATAATGCATCTCTTTCCCCAAAATGACCAGCTTAGTTGCCCAGCACCCACAACGTTCAGATCAGAAACATCAGTGTGAGATGGGCCCAGGCTTATCAAATTCCCAAACTGTTCAATCAGCGGTAGGAAACCTGCGGCCCAGCGGCGTTGGCCTGCCAGACATTTTGTTTACTGTTGCTCCCATGCAGGACTACCAGATTCCACTGCTTTCAGTCCACATAGTTTTTTTTCTTACTGGTATTACTAAAGTGACACACACATAAAACATGGGCACATGAAACAAGGTTCATGCTGATTGCACACAACATTAACCGTGAGAGCTGTGCACTTGCTCTGTATCCAATGAAAGTGCTGCTACAGCTCATTCAGCACACCCCGCAAATTCTAGGTGTTCAAGTGCAGTTAACAAAACTACCTTATCCAGGAGACTGTCTTGGTTACGACAAACTTGCAGCCCACTGAGATGAAGGAGGACCATTCACGCAGCAGTCTCAGTATCCTAGGTTGCCCATCATTGTATTAAATCATGAAGATGAACCCTAATCTTCTACCAGACACCATCACACACAGTAAGACTGGCCATCACTGCTTCAGAGAAATTAAAAATTAGTTAGAACCATTATCCCAAGCTCTAGCCAAATGGAAACCTTTAAAATTCAAAAGGTTTGCTCAGCTCATTTTAATAAAAACTTTTCATGCACCTCTATGTGTGCTGGTTTTAGCCTAGATAAAAACTGGAAATACTGGAACACCAGGGGAAATGATTATTGCAGCATTTCCAACTGGATCTCAATCAAAAACCTAGTGGAAATTGCATGGTTTCCAACACAATATGCAGGCCAAGGAAATTTGGAAAAGCTTCAAATAAGCCTCCAGATGTCTGGATAGTCCTGTGAACTGAAAAGCTTCTGAGGTTCACACATCCCTAATACAGAGACTGAAACATTATTGCTATTAATAATAAACTCTGCAACATGCACAGTGCTTACAAATTACAAATATGTTACCTGTTCCCATTTCCAATATAGACATCGGAACAGGTCAGGTAATTCAGTTTGGAGGGGTTATGTACAAATCATTATTGAGGAGATTAACATTGTAATGATTCATGGAATGAGTAAGGGTAAAAGAGAAATGTGACAGGAGGTAGGAGTCTGTTTTGTGAGGGATATGCCAAGTGTCAGGACCTGAACGAAACAAGAAGTTGTAGTAGAGAGAAGAGAGAGAGACAGTCTTAAGAAAAGCCAAGGGAAAGGGAAGCAAAAGAACAAGGGGCTATGGCTTGTCACATTTTTTCCGGCAAAATTGCCTTTTGCTAGTAAATTGACTTTTTCAGCTAAATGACACTTTCTATAAAAATGTGTTGGCTTTCTGCAACAATTTCTGATTGAAAAAAATCAACCCCCACACCCAAAATATTTCAGATGAAAATCAAAATAAATCCATTTGGATATATTACCAGAGAGTCTCCTGGAACTTGTCTGGATCAGCTCATGTTCGCATTTTCTTCTGTGAGCTAGACTCCCAGGAGGCATCACCACCCCTCTCCAACAGCAGAGACCATGGTTTTGGAGAAAATATGGATCTCCCTCTCCCCAACATAATTTTGCTGCCACCCAAATGTTCTTCTCTTTGGTAAAGGCAAAAGGGCCATTTGACAAATCCACAACTACAGAGTGAAGCTGTGTGGCTTGGCTGCACTACCAGTGTTAGCCTGTGTGAAAAGAGAGGGATTTCCCACACCTGACTTCCAACAGTGGTTCATCGGACACAAAACCACAATGTACGATGGGTCAAATCTTGACCCTATTGAAGTCATTGGGAGTATTTCCATTGCGTCAGTGTGGTCAGGATTTGAGTGCATATTTATTTATCGCATGTCATTGTTTGGGGTATCTGCACAAAGTACTACAGAGTCACAGACAAAGAGTGCTCATCTTGAGAATGGAATGGCTGTCTTATTGTCTAGAAATCCGCGTGCGCGCGCACACACACACACACACACAAACATGCACTCTACATTAAACTTCACACAGTAGCCACTATGGGATCATTTTTCAAAGCAGTGAGCTAAAATTTCATACACAAATCACATTATTAGTTAAGAGGGTCAAAACTTAGCATTTCTAGCCCCTGCTCTGGGCTGTGTAGATCTTTTTAACAGGATTTGTGAATGCCTAACTGCCACTTTGAATGTTTAGCCTTACAATTTTTGAGTCTTCATTTTGACAGGTAGCTGAACAGCAAGCTACACTCTGGGAAAGGCAACTTGTTCTAGACAGTAAACTATGCAGCCACAATAGTGGGTGAGATTCAAGGCAGAGGGAAATATCACATACTCCATCAGCTTGCCCATCTGATCTAATTTTCACCTGCAGACAATTTTCCTTTTCTTTTCTGTGCTTTTAT